CCTCTTCACCACAACAGTCCAATACAGCGACCGTCTCACTGCCGACGCTGCACCGATCCACCTGTCAATCTCACGCTCCATCCTCCCCTCACTCGTGAACAAGACCTCAAAATACTTGAGCTCCTCCACTTGAGGCAAGGACTCTCACCCACCCGGAGAGGGCAAGCCACCTTTTTCCAGTTGAGAACCATGGCCTCCAATAGAAATCCACTTCATAATTAGATGCAAACAATATCCAATACAATGTTAAAACAAAGCTTAGATTGAAGTAGCAGAGCTTCAGACAGAGCCGAGCCTACAGTTAGCATCACCCCCCAGGAAATGATGACAGGTGCAAAGTATCAAAAGCAACCCTACTCATACAAAAACAAGAGCTGTGAAGTGAAAGAAAGGGCATCTGATACAAATACTCGCCTGTTTTGATGTGGAATGTGTGCTCTTTTTTTTTTAAGGCAACCATTGTTGTAGCAGCAGTCCCTGCCGTTGCTGAAGGCGTGTTGACTCAGTTTGGCGTACACTATCTTTTATCACGGCGGTAATAGGCTGAAATGAGGGACAGCGCAGACTTCCACCGTAGGAGCAGATGATCAATGAGCTCTGGGCAGCATAGCGTACGCCGCACCTGGGCCAGAGGCTCTGAGAGACTTGGGGCTAGAACCTGTCTAGACAATAAACTGCTCCATTTAATATACAGTAGAGCTGCCAGGGCTGGGCTAAGGGGAGGCGGGGTGAGGGTGGAGGGTTATGGGTGGAGGAAGGTGAGGGGGCTAGCATCGCTGTGGGTCCCTGGATAGAGAAAGAATCACAGAGGTTATATAGAGGCCCAGTGATTAATGGTTGCTATCAAGGAATGCAAGAGTGTAGTGCTTTAGCGTAGTGGCGTGCATTTGTACATGGACTGTGTACACCTGCCATTATTGAACATAAAAGAGGATATTTTATTGTTGACTGAGTGATCGTCTTTCTCTGAACAATTAGTATTACTCAAGTTTTAAACAATGAAAAACAGTCATTGAACCAGCAATAAAAGGATCCATAAGTTGCCCATTTGGACATTAAATGTAGTCCATTTCTTTTTCTTTTCAATATTCAATATTGACCCAGCAATATTGCAACAAAATAGTCAATAAAATAATCACAAAAAGATAAGAAATTATTCAAAACATGTCTTCACATTTCAACATTTCTAATGAGATAGTTGGACCTGTCTGTGGTTTTGGAGCGTGTTCCAGTCCACGGTACAGGAGGATATCAGGCAAAATCTCGTGCAACCCACCTGAGCATCGCGACCCAATCTTAGGGAAACAATGATGAAGAAAACTGAGCCATTTTGTCAGTTTTCCCAGACTTTGTTATAGTTACTACCACCAGCAGAGTCTTCTCGTTTTGTGGCAAAATAGTTAATAGAGCCCATTTGGTGTTTTGGTTCTTAAGATGATTTTCCAATCAAAAGCAGAATGAGCCTTACATGAGTTTCTCATTTGGGTTTCCAGTTTTGATGCTGAAACCCAGCTGGCATGAACTTAAAAGGACTCTCTTTGATCTGAATGGTCACCCAAGCACTTACAGTCATTAACCAGTGCAGCCTGTGCAGCTCAGTGAGTAAATTCTGGATGTTCTGAGCTTTCACATGAGGCATGGCCTGAGAAAAGAATTTTATGTGTCCTCTGTCTGCAGGTTAAAACGGTGGCAACCCAGGTTCAGTTGGGATTGTAGCAGCTTTCTTAAAACAGTAAGACTGCAGGCTACATACAGTTTCTGTAGGTGTCAGAATTGATGTGGCCCAGTGGGTCTAGTGTTTTCCCAGATACATGAAGGTTGGCAGTTCAGTCACAGCTTGGACCAACACCTGTTTTGTCCTCACACTAGGGCTGAGTGAATTTTACTTAAGATTCAGTCATTTCTAATCATCACTGATCAGCTTGTCTCTTTAATGGAGGTCTACAGTCAATCCTCTGACAGTAATAACACGTTCAGAGACAAGGCCTGAGACAAGACTGAGACTTTTAAATGCTGAGGTCAAGACTAGACAGAGACTTTTAAAGGCCGAGGCCAAGACAAGACCGAGACCACAGCCCATTGAGACCAAATCAAGACCATCTTTGTAATTTTCGATATTCAATTGTATTTCCAGTTGTTTTGGCACATATGTATCAATGTTTTTATAAATATATCTCCATTCTATTACTTGTCAAGTGTCAGACCTCAAGACCGATACAAGGCCAAGTCCAAGTACCTTCAAAACTGAGACAAGACCAGGTCCAAACGCGGTTGATTACGAAACAAAAAAATGGTCTTGAGGACGGTTTCGAGACCAAGACCGGTCTCAAGTACTAAGACACTACTTAATAAATACTAAATAGCTAACAAAACCATACAAAATGAGCTTCTTAATGTAGCTTGCTCAATAATTTGTAACTGTAATGAAAGCTTCAAATTCCCCGCAGCATTTTCCGCGGCTCAAGAGACCTCATCCTCAGAGTGCACGTTTGTTTTGCATGGGGAGATTAAGCCTGGGATAACTATTATTTCAGATCAGAGTCATTAGGCTCTGAAGTGTTGGACAGGGCCCAGTTGTGCGTGTAGAGACACTTCTGAGCCCATCCACAGGGTTAATGCCGTGTGACAGCAGACGGTCTCAAGAGGACAGTCCGGGGAGATCATCAGAGGAGAGCGTATGGTCAATCTAAGTTCACACTTCAGATTGTAAATGGACACTGTTTCTGAGTGACCATTAAAGGTGCGCTATTTAACTTTTGCGGCGAACTATTTGTCAATTGCTTGTCTCCATGGACATGTTATTGAAGTGTTAATATGAAGTGTCTCACAGTATGACATTAAACTTATCTAAGCACCATCAGCCTAAAGATAGATCTGTGAAAACGCAACCATGCTCAAAATTAGAACATTCTTGCCATTAAAATACCTTTAAAAACATAATAAACACCTGTAATTGAATAAATGAGAGGGATGCCCCAAAATAAGCTTAATGTCATAATATGGAACATTCCAGGCAAAGCAACACCATCTCTATGAAGAAAAACATGTCTCAAAATGTTGGGAAAAAAACTGCCCTTACTTACCGGATGTGCATCTCCACAAACCTGAAGCAGCCTGGGGTCTTCTCAGAAATCTTATTCCTTTGGCTATAATTTTCTAGCCAGGCTGGCGCCACCTAGTGCCTCTGCTCAATTGAATTTCTCTCCAGCGACTAGGTCAGGAATCAAAATAGACGGTTCGCAAAAACCCCGGAAGTGTGAGTTCGGACACCAGCCAATCAGCGAAGAGCCATACATTCTGTGTTGGCAACGATTCCCGAGATCGAGGATTTAAAGCCGGAACAAAGAGAATGTTTGGTGAATATTATCAAACGGAAAGACATTATTGCCCTTCTTCCTATGGTATTTGGGAAAAGCTTAATATACCAGTTAGCCCTATTAGCGGCGCATTACATACAACACAACCAAATAGCAGCGATTGGTTAAATGAAACAAAGTACCCGCCTACCGTCGAACGAACAAATTCTAACGGTGCAAGGTCAGGTGGTTTCTACGAAGTGAAACCCTCTGATGAATCAGGCTAATAATCTTCCACAGTATGGCATAAAACTTACCTATCTTGAAGGAAAAAAAAATATATATAAGTATGATTTTAACATTTTATTTACATTAAATCATGCAGTTGCCACCTCCATAAAGTTACGTACTGTCCCTTTACGTAATGTTCTGCTGAACTTGAGCTGCCATATTTCATTTTAAATTCTGTTTTCTGTTGTAAAGATTTACTTCCTTATACATTTTCTCTCAGTGTTAAATACTGTAGTTCTTGTACCAAAGCATATGCATAGCCCACACTGCTGAGTAAATCCTTCAGGTCCCTCTATCGATAGATCAATTCCTTTTAATGCAGTGGTTTTGGCGCCAGCCCAGTCCTGCATGTAAAAGTGACCTCATGGACTTCTTAATATGCAAGTCGTTAGCTAAAGTACTCCTTATTTCCGAAGTCTTCTGTTGGAGACATTATTTAGCGGTCAAATCCATTAAGTGTGTCCGCGATGACCGCTGCTAGTCCAATTTATGCATAAAGTTATTCCATTTGAATAAACAATCTTGATTTAAAAGACATGCTGTTTTGTAAGTGTGGCATCTAATTATTCATGGAAAGCAAACATGATCATAAACATCTTCGCTAAAAAGTATAAATAGAGCAAAATAGTGTTGTCACAATACCAACATTTCAAACTCAATTTCAATACTATAAGGGATAGACTCGATACTCAATGCACGTGCACGTCAGAACAACTGGTCTATAACTGGCCTACTCCAATTTAAAGAGAATTTTCAAAATGCATAAAAATCTGGTTTGAGGTGTTATGATTCCAATCTTTAACTGTTACAGGGGAGTCATACTAGGAGCTGACTAGGAGAGGCATTCAACTGCCTGGGCTAAGAAAACATAAAATAACCTGCAAAAATATTAACCGCGTGTTTCAACATGCACCCACTCATTTCAGACAAGGCCTTTGTGACACATTGTGACACTTACACGAGGACTGGAGCTCTGCTGTGCAGTTTGCCGTCACTATGTGTTTGTGCGATAACTATTTATTTATGAAGGGAAAAGGCTGCGGTCGCTCCGGTCGCTCCGGTCGCTCCGGCGTCCGGCAAAAATAGAATCCAACTGAATTGATCTGGAGCGCCACAGCACATGTGCGCTCTGAGCTCCTCCTGTTACTTTCAAATTATATAGAATACTCAGAGCCACCGGACCAGAGCTGCACCACGTGCAGTCTGAGCCCGGGGTAATCATACAACCAACAAATGTAAGAACAGTGGGAACACTGAGCTGTGGGAACATAGAGCTTTGGGAACAGAATTGACTCCATAAACGTAGTGACAGATTCAGTGGCTGACTGCTTAATTGCTTCATCAAACTTCTCTAACTTTCTTTTTATGCATCATTCTCGTTATCTAATCTTTTTGTTTATCTTTCTCCCACAGACTCTGCACAACATGGCGCTGAAAAACCTGGCCGTGGTCCTCCTGCTGGTGTTCCTGTGTCTGGACTGGGGCACGGCCAAAGAGAAGGGGACCAAGAAGGGCAAGAAGAAAGGGAAGCAAGTTTACTGTCCATCGTAAGTGCCTCTTAAACAACACCTATATACCCTAACTGCCCTGAGTACAGTAACCGGCTGTAAAACGTAGCACTCGTTAAACCTTAATGCAGTTATTGTAAAAAGAAAATGGCACTGTAAATTAAAGTGTTGTATTGTGGGAAATTTGCCGCTGTTGAACGCTTAGGTTGCAGAATGAAACCTTGTAAGCCTTCTGTTGATATGATGCGACAGGATACAAGGTAATAGAAAATGGACTATACAGTAATGCCAATGTAATTATGGATATTAGATTAATATTTTGCTGACTGTGACACACACAAATCTGATTTAAGGCCATTGCATCAATTTTTAAAGGGCCCTTCTTATGCTTTTTTCTGATCTATGTAATAATCTTGTTACATCACAAACAGACCTGGAGTTGTTTTGCTTCATTCACGTGTTTAACACAAAAACTGTATATGTGTGTAACAAAAAAAACTCTAATCCACCTTGTGATTTCACGTGGTAGTACAGGAAGTGCTCCACAAACTCCATACACCTTCACTAGATTAATTTGGATGTTTTTAGTCCTGACATTTTGTAAGTAAGTTCAGGTTTTTCGCATTCAGTTTTTGATTAAGCTTTTCCTGAGCTGCCAAAGACTTTGATACAAATGAATCAAAACATGATGCCCATTTGAAAAATGATTGACAATGGAAAAAATGGGACTTGTACCGTTTTAAGAATTTGGTTTATATCAAAGATAGTGTAACACCACATTAGAAATTTAAGCAGATTTCTCTTTCTTTATAATTGCTTTCTTTCTCTTAATTAATTATTTACTTACTTAATTACTTACTTACTTAAGTACCAAAATAAAGTTAAATTTTTTTGGAAAATGCCAACCCTTTATTTATTTCATTACTCAAACTTTACAAAGATAAGTGAATCTGCTGCTGTATGCTATCCCTGATTTCAGAGGAAGTGACTGATGGATTAATCAGTCAGAGAGATACATTCACGGCAAAAAACAAACGCAAACAAACAAACAAACAACAGAGAATAAACAACATAAAGGATTAATTCATCATAACAGCATTAATTTTCTCAGAATCAACATTTGAAGCACCAATCTATTATTATAAGCCTTATTCATCAGCCCGTTTCACTTCGTGGAAACCATCTGACCTCACAGCATTAGGATTCATTTGCTCGACAGTAGGTGGGTACTTTTTTTATTTGACAATCGCTGTTATTCGGTTGTGACACAAAAGGGACACAGACAGGTGCTTGAGTATGACGTCATGACTTCACAGCTCTTCGTGGACTGGCCATCGTGCGGTCTACATCTTGCAAATCGTCTAGTGTATTTCGATTCCTGACCTAGTCGCTGGAGAGAAATGAAACTGAGCGGAGGCAGTAGGTGGCGCCAGCCTGGCTACCAAACTATTACTTATCGAAGGTACAAGAAGTTTTATATTTTGTACTGAATCTTCCAGGAATTTTCGAGAGAAGTTGTTTACATTTGAGAGACACCTGCTACAAATTAGCAGTTGGGGTTGGATCATCTCTAGTTTGGACAGATGTTTTTCACACTCCATGATCCGATGGTCCAGGGATGGGCATGATTAGTCGATTAATCGATAATTGATCATTAAGAATTTCATCGATTACGTTCATTTTAATCGACAAACCGAATGTAGGTCGCTGTGCGTAGTGTGACCAAACAGGGGTCCGTACATGTAGCTCTCTGCACTCAGAAGGAGCGAGCAAACACAAACAGTTGGTCAGTCTGCAACGTACCGAAGCGCAAATGCGTATTTAACGATGATTTGTACAAGAAATTCCGCTCTTTCCGTTCCGGTCGGGACAAGTGTGAGGCCATGTGCACAGTGTACAAAGCAGCACATATGTTTCGGTGTCCAGTGGGAAAAAGCTTTACCAGGACACCGAAAACATGAAAAAGCTTTGCCAGGTGAGAGTAGCGCAATGTCGAGTACCACCTCCCACCCCCGTACGGTGTCCTGGTTTTGACAAACGCAAATATGGTCACACTAACCTGTATTCCACTGAGTCATGTCCTTCAGTCTGACACAAGAACTGTTTTTTTTTCCTTTGCATAGTTTATGCAAATTAACCATGCAGTTCAAGTTTCATTTCTGTGAGAGTTGCGCACGTCTTATAATCTCAAACAGGCTGATGTGGCTCTAGAGTGGTTATGGTTTATATGTCGTAATGTTGAATTTATTTATGCAGATTAGTAGTGCAGATAGTAATAATAATGATGATAAATTTGAATATAAAAACGTTAATGATTAATCTGTAATCGATCGTTAATTCTCCCGACGATTGATTAAGAAAATTTAATCTAATGCCCATCCCTAGTCCAGACCTTCCTAGATTCGAACAGAATGGTCAGGCCAGGAGGTTCACCCTCTACTCCAGCCCACTGTGTAATCATTTTAATAGTGGTGTGGGGTCTTTCTTGCACAAATCTGTCACTCTTATAAAATAGACACACTAATAGTCAACCCATAAATATTGTAACATACTTGAGTCAAAGAGTTATATTGATTCAGCAAAACGATATTTTTCTCTGTTTTGTCTACATATTTGACTGAGATTCCTGCTCACTGCTTTTCTGTGTAACAATGAATGAGTTCTGACTGGGATCTGGGCTTTCCATTGTCTCCTCCACCATCGTCGCCTTAAATGGTAACAAATGTCTCAACACAAAGTACATCATGAAATAAAGTAACATTCGTTTGAAGTTTTCGCAGTATTGGCAAGTGTAAGCCCTATGACATATTTGGTGTAGCGTGCACGGTCATGCGGGAGGGGGAGAGTGGAGGGGATTTATGCATTTTGCTTTGATCAGAGTATTTGTGGAAGTATGCATTCCGGTGGAGCGCCTGAAGCATGACAGGGTATATATTATGATATGTAAAGTGTGTTTGAAAAGTAAGGGGTGTTGTTTGACAGTTGTTTTGTATTCTGTTCCCTCTTCTTTTTTTTTTTTTTTCTTTTTAGCCTGGTGAAGAGTTGGAAATTGTTTCAAATATCTTATTATTCCTGATACATCCAACTAGTAATAATAGTAATAATAAAGATATCAGTACGGTCTAGGGATGGGCATTCGATGAAATGTTCTTAATCGATCGTCGGAAGAATTAACGATTGATTATCAATTGATCATTAACTTTTTATATTAAAATGATCATCATTATTATTACTATCTGTATTACTAATCTGCATAAATAAATTCAACTTTACGACATATAAACCGTAACGACTCTAGAGCCACATCAATCCGTTTGAGATTATAATGTGTTTAATGCAGCTTTGTGCAACTCTCACAGAAACGAAACTTAAATCCGCATCGCTAATTTGCATAAACTAAGCGAAGATAAAACTACAGCTCTTGTGTCGCTGATGCGGTCAGTTTTTGTCGGATTAAAAGACATGATTCAGGTGAATACAGGTTAGTGTGACCATATTTGCGTTTGTCAAAACCAGGACACCGTACGGGGGTGGGAGGTGGGGACTCGTCATCGACATTGCGCGACTCTCACCTGGCAAAGCTTTTTCCCACTGGACACCGAAACATATGTTCCTGCTTTATACACTGTGCACATGGACTCACACTTGTCCCGAACGCAACGGAAAGCGTGGAATTTCTTGTACAAGTCATCGTTAAATACACATTTGTGCTTCGGTACGCTGCAGACTGACCGACTGTTTGTGTCTCGCTCCTTCTGAGTGCAGAGAGACACATGTACAGACCCCTGTTTGGTCACGCTACGCACAACAACCTACATTCGGTTTGTTGATTAAAAGTAACGTAATCGATTAAATTCTTAATGATCAATTATCGATTAATCGATTAATCATGCCCATCCCTAGTACAGTCACCACTTTCTCCTGATGCAACACAAGCTAGATTCAAAAATGGCCATCCAATCCAATCAGATTTGTTTATTTCTTTAATGTATGTGAAGCAAATATGCTCATTGGTCACACATCATGTTGAGCAAATGCAGTTTCTCTCACCTCGGATTTACAAAGTTTAGTTCTGCAAAGTCTGGGATGTTTTTGAGTTTTCATTTTCTGTATAGGACATATAAATAGACAGCCACTGCTTGTGTTAGCTCTAGGGTCATTTTGCTTTTTAAACTGTGTAGATCTTTCTTCTTTTGTGTTTAGAATAAATACAGTTATTGCGTAAATTATTAAAATAAAGCAAAACTCGTTATGATTTTGAAGAATCACACATATTTTTTATGTGCATGTTTAAAATGCTAATTAATCGACTCCTCATTTCTTGACCTACATTCACACATTTTCTAGAAACACCTGTGACTGCAGGTGCACAAGGGTATGTCTGTTTCCATAACAACCTAAGCCTAACCCATAGACTGTGTATATAAATGGACGGCGCGCTCCAAATAGGAAGTTCTCATGCGGCCCTTCCGGCTCCTTCTGATCTTGGCTCCAATTGACGTACATTGGAATATTGTCGTCCCCTCTCTCTGTAATTGCTGCAGTAAGCCTCATTATTTTGATCTTAAAATTTACGTATTTCACAGTTTTGTCCATTAAAAAAAGTCCTGTTCATAATATACAGCCTGGCTCCAAATTCTTTCCTGTATCCGTTAGCATTGTGAGCTTCATTTGAGTGAAGCTGAAAGCCGTGGGTGACGTCACACTCGCGTATTCCACTTTTTTATACCGTCTATGGTCTAACCCTGAAGACATTCTAGACATTATAGTTTTGGCAACTATTTCTGAAAGATTCATAATATGTAAATTGTACTTGTTTGAGCTTTTAACCATGTTATAACAGTATCCGCACTGAAAACTTAATAGAAGTTGTGTTTTGCTTTATTCCTGCGTCTTTCATTAATCCACTATTCCATTAATTTCCGCAGTTTAAATTTTCATGTGAATTTCTAAACTCCATAAATCATTTCCAGAGCACATTTATTACAAGTGCGTTTTATTAACATGCCCCACTCCCGTTGTTTAAATAGCTTTTTTCATGGTTCATTCCCACTGCTGCCAGGAGATGGCGTGCTAACCCCAAATCCCTGTTACTTACTCAAATCCATTTGTGTGCCTCAACTAGTCTGTGCCTAATATAAATGCACCGTTACGTCCAGTGGGTATCAGAGTTCATATCGGCTATAGATCAACTGATATGTCTATTTTCTTGGCCGATGCCATTCCAGTTGTTTAAAATTAACTTATGACCGCTGATAGGGGCTGATTTAGATTATTTGCGCCAAATTATGTAATTATAGCTTTCGACAAACTCCCCTACAGTCCCTTCAAATCTTCAAGAGAGCTGTATAGTCAGTATAGTCTGTATAGTTATCTATTTGCAAGTTTTCAAGTTAAGTTTTCAAGTTTTCAAATTAAACTTTATGCATATTCTTTAGGCAGCAGGTCGGCCAAAACAAAATATCTGTCTGTGCTGGAGATTAAAGACCGATAGCTGAAACTAAAAACTGCAAATATCACCCTGATTCTCATGTCAGTCTATCTCTGGTATCAGCTGCTCCAGATATGTTATTGGAATCTTTTGAATCAGTTCATTACAACTCAATTGTAGTTCCTCAGTTTACATACCATATTTTTCGGACTTGCATCAGCCAAAAAATGCATAATAAAGAAGAAAAAAAACATAAGTCGCACTGGACTAAGTTTTGGGGGAACATTATTTATAAAATCTGAGACCCGGAACCGACATTTCATCTTGAAAGACAAGTTACAGTAATAAAAACAGAATAGAGAACAACAGACTGTTAACGTCACATATGAACAGTTCTTCAGATAACTATAGCATAAACAACAGAAGAGAAAAAGTTGACCAAACTCTCCATCTCACTCCAAATCACTAAATACATTGAATTCTTCATCCTCGGTGTCATTTCTGAGCAACTCCATGACCTCCGGAGGCAAACAGAGCACCACTTCCTTTTCTGCGTAGCTTTGTCAGACTCAGCATCAGTTCCAGTTAGAATTATTCCAGCCTTTCTGAATCCCGACAGGATGGTTTCAGTTGGCTCTTTCTACAGGAGACATGTGCAGTAGAAGTAGCAGATACTGGCACACAAGCCCAGAGCGCCCTCTTGTGGCTGTCTGTGTGAAAATGTCAATATATAACTGGATGTATAAGTTGCAGGACCACCCAAACCATGAAAAAAGTGTGAGTTATAGTCAGTAAAATACGGTACATGTATTTTGATAAATTGGTTTAAATTGGACTAGGCCAGTTATCTGGTTTTCTTAGCGTCCATGTAAAAGTAGCAAGTGTAAAAGAGCCAGCGCTTTAACAAACCCCAGTCCAACTTTATTTTCTTTACAAAGCAAGATATAAACTAGTGCGAAGAATTGAAAGCCTGAATGAATCAAATCATGGCATTGCCCGAGAACAAATAGGCCCAATTGTCTTCCCAGATCTGTACCAGTCTTTGAACTAGCCTACTTGTCTAAACATTTATTTGGCTGAAACAATGTGTGGGTGGTCTGTGGGTGTGCGCGGGTGATCGAATACCACTGCGATGGTAGCTGTGCGGAGTTAGGGTTTTAATCAGATCAGTCTCTGCATCTGGACCTCTCATCTGCCCGGTATGCACGCTCTAATCATCCCCCCTTTTTTCTCTTACTTTTCTGTTGTTTGCAGGCAGCTGTCATCCGAAGATCTGGCGAAGGTCCCTGCCAATTCCACCAGTAACATCTTGAACAGGTTACTGATCAGCTACGATCCACGAATACGGCCCAACTTCAAAGGTGAGCTGGCCCCCTCCCTTCCATCTGTCGTCTGGGTCTCACTTTTCATTTACATTATTTTGCGGAGCAGTTGTCACGGCAATTAAGGAGGAATGTTCAGTAGGCATGTCTCTTCTAGATAACTGCTTAAAGCCGGGTGTCCACCGCACGATTTTGGCTGTCTGCAATGAAAGACTTCTGGTGTTGAATAAAATCTTGAAACACTGCCAGGTCTTAGAGTGAGACAGGGACAAAGATCAAACTTAGAACCGCCGTATGACTAAAGATGAGCTGTGACTGATATCGAGCACGTTGGACAGTCTCTCCCCCGATTTCCTTTCATTTTCAGACTTTTATTTTTAAAATGTGAATCGCCGCCAGACTGGGGAGCTTGCCTCATGTAACTTCTACAATTAGGGAGCCCTTACCACACGGAGCAAATAATATTGACAAAGCTCTTAATATTTCTTGGACTATCCTAATAATGATCAGATGATTTCTTTTCAATTTATCGGAAATTATCATAACACACCTTTAAGCTTTGTCTTGCTCAGTGGCAGAGTTAGCAATTTGGGGGCCCTAGGTGAACTTGAGTTTGGGGCCCTCACTGTAATGTTTTGTTGTTGTTGCTTTTTTAAAATTTAGTTTTTTTTCCCCCATTGTTCATGAGACATGTACATCTTTATTTGAATTAGGGTGGTTTGGAAACTTGTCTTATTAGTCAGGTAGCCTACGAAATAACAAGAGCTGAAAGTTGTTGTTTTTTTTAACATATGATTATGATGATGATTGATTATGCTATGCTTATGTTCAAATCAGGGTCAAGCTGACTAGTCCATTTTAACATGGGAGGGGGGATTCTTTGACAGTTAAAATAGATTTGACAAATCTGACACTATTTTGATGGTGTTTTCATGTTTAAAAATAAACCACTCCCATTTAATGTCATATTGAGAGAAAATTAAATTGCTCTGAGGCCTCAGCCGTTAGTGGCACTGAGGGCAATTGGTTGGGGACCTCTCCAGGCTGACTAATGGTAGTGCTGCCTCTGGTCTTAGTCAAGGAAAGCTTTAAAGGTGCACTATGTACCTGCTTGTCTCATTAAGATAATGTTCAGTTTTTTAGTTGGCTACAAAAAAAATATTTTGCCTAGTAGACATATCATTTTGGAATTGTAGAACAACTCCTGTTTTTTTTCCTTTAGCTGTTAGCATTAGCATTTCTGTTTTTGTAAAAGTAGTTCAACAGAGGAAAAAGGCTGGAGACCCCTGGTTTAAGTAAACAAATTCTGAACCAAAGGCTGCTGTTACGTAGCCAGGCTGGCGCCACCTAGTGCCTCCACTCAATTTCATTTCTCTCCAGCGACTAGGTCAGGAATCAGAATAGATTACACGGTTTGCAAAAAACAGGCAGCAGCCAATCAGCGAAGAGCCATACATTCTGTGTTGGCAACGATTCCCGAGATCGAGGATTTAAAGCCAGGATAAAGAGAATGTTTGGTGAATTTTATCAAAGGGAAAGACGTTATTGCCCTTCTTCCTATGGGATCTGGGAAAAGTTTAATATACCAGTCAGCCCCGTTAGTGGCGCATTACATATGTCACATCCAAATAGCAGTGACTGGTTAAATGTAAAAAAAAAAAAAAAAAAAGCAAAAACGCCTGCCATTGAGCGAACGATTTCTAATGCTGCAAGGTCAGACGGTTTCTAGTAAGTGAAACCAGCTGATGAATCAGGCTAGTTATGTGGATTGTAGGTATAATAACCACTATACCTGGTCTTTTATTTGTCACAAATGTCATAAAAAACATGTTATATATAGATATGTTTTATGCCATAGTGTGGAATTTTACAGGCAAAGCAATAACATCTGCACAGAAACAATAAGGTAGCGGACCCGACACCTGAATAGTTACATAGTGCACGAAGAAACAGTGGAGCAGTGGGCCAAGTATTATCTCATCGACCAGAGAATCTGCAGATCTCTAATGGTTCTACACTAGTGTTGTGTCCCTGAACAAGACACTTTTCTCCTCTTGCCTGCCTATAGATTAGTTGTTTTTGTCGAATTGTGTTTGCCATAGGGACCTTAGCCACAAAACTGCAGCAAATGTTTCCCCACTAGGTTTGAATGGCAAATTAATTAGGAGTGAATGAATAATGCATACAACTTATCATTATGAGAAATATAAATATATCACCAAAATCCAATTTACCATCATACCTAAACCACAACTTCCAAGAGTTATTAAAATATCCTCATTCTCTTGCTTTTCCCATACATTTGACCTCTCCACTCACCAACACTGATTTCCCTTATATTTACTTTACGTTATATTCTAACCTAGACCATAAATACACTGTGAAAGCCACTCTTTGTAATAAATCCAAGCGCCGGTGCACCATTAGAAGGTGTTGCAGAGTCTGATGGTGTTAGCAGTCCCCAGGTGAAATGTGCCATATTTTCCAGTGGATTTCGGGAGCTCGTGTTTGATGTGTCTGGGGGATATTGGCGGAGTCGTACAAACATCTGCTGCTCATTTTGGGTGGGCTTCGGACTCCAAGTTTTCCATTCACGTCCATGTCCTAATCTCCCAAATTGTATCCCCCAACTGCGCCCACAAGCCCACTTTCCCAAGCTCGTAAAACGCAGTCAGATTTTATAGGTGGTATAGAGATTTGGGATTGTTTTGGTTTGTTTTAGGAATAACTTGCAAGTAGATTGAAGATTTGTTTAGATTAAAGAGAAATGCATTGCCAAAATCATTCAAATGTATTGTGTTTGTAAATAAGTGAATTTGAGAATTTGTAAGAATAAGTAATAAAAGTGTAAAAAAGTAAAATATTCAAAAATATTCAATTAGTTCCATGACAATGTTAAATAAATGACAATAGTTAAATTAGGTTTACAAGTCAAATAATGTAGGTCAACCCTTGTTTCAGTAATATTCTGAAATTTAGTACTTTTAACCTGATTACTAATCAAACAATGTTTTCTATTCATAATTTCTATATTAAAATAAAATATAAGGATTTATGGATCTAAAATCAGTTTCCCCCAGAGGTAAACATGCTCACATCAAATATAGCTTTCACTGATCATTCTAATGCTAATTTATTCTTAATTACAAAAAACATTAGACATGGTGGCCAATGGTTGTTTATGGTATAATTTGGTGTTTTGTTTTTCAACTACTATAGGCTCTATTCACTCTTATGTCTCAAACCAGGAAGACGTTTGGAAAGATGCAATGGCAACTTATAACCAGGCTGGCGCCACCTAGTGCCTAAGCTCAATTTCATTTCTCTCCAGCGACTAGGTCAGGAATCGGAATACACTAGATGGTTTGCAAGAACCTGGAAGTGAGAGTACAGGCACCAGCCAATCAGCGAAGAGCCATACATTCAGTGCTGGCAACGATTCCCGAGATCGAGGATTTAAAGCCGGAACAAAGAGAATGTTTGGTGAATTTTATCAAGGGGAAAGACGTTATTGCCCTTCTTCCTACTGGATTTGGGAAAAGCTTAATTTACCAGTTACATATGTCATGACCAAATAGCAGCGATTGATTAAATAAAAAAAGTACTTGCCTACTGTCAAGTGAATACATCCTAATGCTGCAAAGTCAGACGGTTTCCATGAAGTGAAACCGGCTGATGAATTAGGCTAGACAACTTGCGTAGTTAATAGTTGTAAAATTTGGTAGTAAGTTTGACAAAATCTAGGAAAAATGAGAAAACTGCCCAGTCATCTAAATGTCATTGGAGCGTTCCATGATGTTCTGAGCACACTGGGTACACACAGTTAGATGAGGGCGCATTCCAAAGAGCACATAGGTATGCAGTCTTTATTTTACCGCTGATCATATTTACTCCAATGGGTTTTATCACAGGCGAGCCCAGTGTCGGTAACTACACCAGAAGTTGGAATCGCATCTTTCCAGATATCTTCCTGGTTTGTGACGTAAGCGTGAATAGAGCCTATTATCCAATCAGAAAGCAAAATGAGCATCACATGAAACTCTCAGCTGGTTTAAACCTAAAATGCCTCTCTCTGATCTGAATGGTCTCTACCTAAACCCCAGCACCCGCAACCAAACATGAATCCGTGCTAGTGCATCCTCTGCAGCTCAGTGAGGGAATTCTGGAGGTTCTGAGCTTCCACATGAGGCCAAGAATGAGTATACCTGAGTGCCTATATACATGTAGGCACCGGCAACAGTACAATTCCTTTAAGATTTTTAAATGCATTGAAGGAAAAATATACTGACTGAAGGCGCTGAGAATATTTAGTGTAGTGTATTACTGGTGAAAATGATTATTCAGTTGCCCTTTTATACTATATTTATGCAGCCGTATTATTTCCATAAAATCTTTTGGCACTTACCTTCCGTAGACATTCCTTTTTGCAGTGTAAAGTTAACAATGTGCCTGGGCATTAAGTGCGGTTAGCGTGAGTAAACTGGTGCGGTGTGAGATCGGGGAGGTCCTGCAGTTTGAAATGTTTTTGAGGTTAAACCAAAGGAACAATAAAGAAAAACCACTTACCCAAACAGTTGTGGAGGAGGAAATGGCCCACAGTAGCACTTATGTAGCCCCGAGACACGCTGGTATTTATGTGAGCATTAACAAGAGGGGATTTGGACCGTATGGAGTGAAGTGCGTTCCTATTGTGAAAATAAGATAGTGTTGCCAGCGTGATCATGGATGCAATTAGCAAAATGGGAGACTTTGTAACTTTTCTGGTGGAGAGTACACCACCTGCTTCTCTTCAGGGAGGTGTTATTGCTCTGACTCGAGTGCTGCGTAGTACGGCAATATTGGCATTAAAGGGATAGTCCGGAATTCTGGACATAGGACCTCATTTCCTAGTGAGCCAGAGTGTTGGAGACGTGTGGAGAAGACACTTTTTAAAATATTCCATCCAGTCCTTGTATTTGCAGAGGTCGCTGGTGCTAGGCTAGTGCATGTCAATGGCCATAGTTAGCCTGTCACTAAAAACAGTCTTACCCACTCCACAAAACACCCGGCGCAAATCTGATATTACGCCAGACTGTCAATGTAAATGTCTGTGTTGATAGAATAATTTTAGAAGTAAAACCAACCTTGCATTTGAAGGATTTATGTCAGAGCAGCAGCAGTGAGTTGTACTTCCTGATAAAAGACTTGGCAGCGGCGGACTGATATATGAGAAAATAGTCCCTCAACATGTGATAGGTCATGCCGTGCAAGGTAAGTTTTATTTCAAACATTATTCTATCAACACAGACATTCACATCGACAGTCTGGCGTAATAATAGATTTGCTTTGGGTGTTTTGTGAAGTGGGTAAGTTTTTAGTGGCAGGATAACTATGGCCATTGACATGCACTAGCCTAGCACCAGCGACCTCTGCAAATACAAGGACTGGATGGAATATTTAAAAAGTGTCTCCACACGTGTCCAACACTCTGGCTCACAAGGAAATGAAGCCCTATGTCCAAACTTCCTGACTGTCCCTTTAAGCTTATCTATGAAGACAAATATATGGTGCCATCAGACCAATTTACCGGTCAGATCTGTAGTTAATCAAGTCTCAAGTGCTTCTGAACGATCTTTGGATAGAGCAGTAGGCAGTAGGAGTCTCTACTAGAAAAGTTATGTAAAAAAGTCCTCTACAATTAACAATATCTTAAAGTACTTGATTTTTACTGTGTTGAAGACATGAGAAACAGAACTAGTTCATTTTAAACCCTTTGCCGTAGTCAAAAGTTATTTCACGCTTACCTTATGCATTCTGAGCATAGTTAGTCAATGCCATGATGGTAAAGCTAACAACAACTAGCATGGTAACACACACTTTCTGATAATCTGACAATAAAATGCTTTCTAATTAGATACAGACAGCATGCAGTGGGCACATTTTGAGCTGCTTATACAATATATCAGGGGCCAGTAGCGCAGTTGGTGGTGTTGGTCCACTGATCCAAAGGTTGGCGGAGCAGTCAGATCCTTTAACTAACAGGTTGGCAGTGCAATTCCAGCTTGGTCTATGAACGTGTGAATGGGTGAGTGGTTCTTGCACTGAGAGAAGACAAATTTTCCTCAAATGCATGCAGGACAAAAAATAGGAAAAACAGAGGCTTTAATTTTGACGAGAGCTCAGTTTTCCAATCCACCACTCGCCTCACTTCACTAAACTCATCACTAACTTCCATCTTCTCCCATGTTCCAGGAATTCCAGTGGAGGACCGCGTCAACATCTTCATCAACAGCTTCGGCTCCATCCAGGAGACCACCATGGTAAGATAACCCACAATGCACTTCACCGCTCCGGACGCTATCGACAATCAATGCCTCTCCCCATCACCGTCACCCGAGAAGTGCATTGTCCTCTATTCTATCAGCGCGTTCGGCAGGGAATCGTTCAGGAGTGAATCGTTCAGCAGTGAATCGTTTGGATACCGTGCTTTTCACGGCTCATTTATCTGACGGCTTAATTGCTGATAAGGGAGTGTCGCTGGAATGCTAATTACGAGATTAAAAGTCAAGGACGAGGCTAAAAAAGAAAGTGTCCCGTAGTGCGCTAACGAAGGCGCTGCTCATTTGAAGCGCAGGGAGGAGGCCTGTAATAACCCGTGACAGCACTGTGTGTAAATATGCACAATCATGTCATAGACAAGACAGGAGACAGCGATGCAGATCCGGCAGGGCGCATCAGTTAGCATAGTGTTTAATTTGGTGTATCAGCAAGAAACAGCGCTAGCGTAATCAAAGTGACTAATGGGAGGTCATAAATTAGAGAAATGCTTTGTTGTAAAGGCTGTTTGTGAAGTGTTCTAAGGTCTAGAGCTACACTCAGGTTTTTCTACTAAAGTTTGAGGTATTATTTCAGGAATTATAGAGAAAAGCTTTAAGAGTAATCTTGCAATAACAATTTTTATATACATACAGTATACACACATACAGTGTATATTTATAGTTGTAGTAGTGCACACATGTATTTACTATTTGGCAACAAATGACTAGTTTTTTAAGGTGAGTAACTTTTTAAGCAAAATGATCCAGATGTTGTTCTTGAAAGATGAAATAATTGCTTAAAATGTAGTGGAGGGTATACCATCTGCTTTTATCCACACATACAGTATGTTACTGCTTTACCTAGAATATTCCACAGCATGGCATTACTTGTGTCCATAGAGACAAACACACAGTACCACAAGTGTAAGAAAGGATCTGTGGGAAAGGTGAGCCCACACAGATTAAGAATGCATAGTTTACAAGGTATTTTTGACCAAAACACCTGCAATGAAATGAAAGATAGATTCATTTAAAGTCATTTGGTGGAACATTCAGGGAAAGAACTAATCAATCACAAGCATATGGTGGACTCCTAAACAGAAATATTCTGCTTTGCACAAAAATTCAATCACTCAACTTGTCAAATTAGATTTTCATAATTCGATTTCCAAATAGAAATACATAAGAGATTAATGTTATAGAAGAAATTATAAAAACATTGTTAAATATAAAACATATTTAAGAATTCCAACAGAATTTTAGGATAACTGGAAAAGAAAAGCCAATCCTAACAAACAGAACAGTTGAGAAAGCTATTTATGCCCCACAGTGCAGAAAGAGTGAAGTTGAGAAGAACACATTTCAGAGCAGACAGACAGGAGTATGGAGTGACTCCCTGCTGTCGCCCTTGGGTGCCCTGTGACTGATGATGTTGCCGAGGTGATGGAGGAGGGAGATGTCACAGCTGTACACCTGTTTGGATGGACCATTTCTCTGTGGGCTGTCACTGAATCCAACACCTCCATGTTTCACTTCACACTTGAGATTTGTTGAGCTCACTTGGAGCGCACAAGTGTCAGCTGGAAACGGACAAAACGATGGTTTATACAACAATAACAATGTTGTATTTGTTATAACTGTAAAACCAACTTTACAGTAATCGGGGAAGTTTTAAATCTTAACGAAACTAAAGAGCAACGTTCAAAACTACGGAAATGTGTGAATAACAGTTTCTTTGTATTTGTACGTCCACATTAGAATATTTGTTTTTTCTACACTATGCTTGGTTTATAATTTTCCTGCTATTGGTAACATTTTGAGGTAAAATATTTTGGTTATTATTATTATTATTATTATTATTATTATTGCTATAAATGTATCATGTAAATACGAGATTGATATGTTTTAACTTTAACTTAACTTTTTTCTTTTTTTCTTTTTTGGATTCATTGGTTTGAAGAATTTTAGCCAAACACTTTTTTTTTTTTAATTAATTGGTTATTTGTACAGTCCCTCAGTTGTCCAGGTAGAATTCATAGCAAAAGGAGAAGTCCAATTAGTCAACTGGACAAAAGTTTATTTGGTTGAAAATATTTTGCAGCTCATCCAAGCTGCTTCTTCAGTTCTGTAATTTCTGAATTTCTCCTTTTGCTATTAACTGGCTAATTATTTTATCAGTACAGAAAATGTTTGTAAATACAACTGCAAAAAAAAAAAAGAACACATGGAGTCAGCTAGCTGGAGCTTATCACTTTTGAAGGTGCTGTTTCCCTATAGGATTGTCAAAATTATCGAAAATCAGATGCTTATTAATACAGGGTTCCCACTCTTTTTCACTGACAACATTTCAAAACTTTTCCATGACTTTTTCATGACCTAAAGTGAATTTTTATTTATGACACCCTATATGTGTAGAACTTGGCATACTAAATATGAAATATTAACCCTTTCCACTCACCTTATGGTTTGGATTATAGTATTTTGTAACTTTCAAAAAACTATAATCCAAACCATTTTATTGCATTTATTGTTGTCTTTTTTTAAACAAAAGGCGCATATGTTTGGAAATAATCATAACAGCCTAATGACATGACTTAACAGAACACTGTAGTTATGTGAAAGAGATACTAAAATTCCATGACTTTTCCAAAACTTTCATTGAATTTACAACATTCCATGACTTTCCCAGGATTTCCATGATCGTGGGAGCCCTGTTAATACTAAAAGTAGTACCTAAAATACTACTGTATGACCACATGCGATATACTGTGATTGTATATTGGAAATTACAATCTTGTCTATAAAAGAGGTTTTAAATCAATATCAATACCTGTTCTTTTAGTACTGAAATTGAGTTTGAAATATTAGTAGCTATTTACCATTGTCTGAATACATAGTGCTTTTTTTTTTTTTTTTTTTTTAGAGATACTATAGATATGATTGTATCAGTACCACACCATGTCTCAATTAATCAATCCACAGGGTATGTCTTACCTGAACCAAAAATGTCTTTAGTCGACTACAGCCCTAATTTCTAACACAAGCCATCCCTGCCTCTTGAGTGAAATAACCTCACAAATCACTGAGCTTAAAGGAACAAGAACACACTTGCAGATTCTGAATTCGCCTTGTATCCCTAAGTGGACAAAGTGCTTTTATATGCCCAGGGAATCACACACACACACACACACACACACGCACAGTCTATAATAGAATTGTCTGAATCGTCTGGGTCTAACCTCCTCTGCTCCTCTACCATTGATTACCGGCCCGTCTTAAATCTCACCGGAGCACCGCGGAGCCTTGGCATCCCGCGAGCCAAGAGGGAAGACGTATTTCGCCGCTTCCTGTTTCTCGAAAGACGAAAGAGGTGTGGGAATTGGCCCGAGTGTTTCTATCAAGTGTACCGGAGCGGGGCTGGTTCGGAGCTGTCAGCCCTGTCACCGAAGGGGTAGAGCAGGTCGAAAATCACTTCCTCCCCATCGGAAAGCTCGGCGCGCCTCCCGAATAGAGCCATCTGCCAGAGGAACGCCGGTTTCAGGGAGATTTATAATAGCCGCCAACTCTGCCGTGCCAAGTCTGAGGCAGGTGCAACCAATCCACAGTGTTTTACAGACAGGACAGGCAGGTGCGAGATGGAGAGGTGGGCTGGTCGTGCACGGGGGTGTCAGGCTGTCAGAACTATCGAGGATTTATTGTTTTGAAGAGACGGCAAGGATATTGTAAGAGGAGCCTGAAATAATAATGAATGTGCTATTGTACCCTTAGCATGGTTTGGGGTTTATTTCACATTTGTGTTTCAAGTTTAGTTTAAAATTGTGTCTAAATTATCAGTGAATTTTGATTAGATATCCCATATATTTAAAAAGGAGGACTGTCCACTGTAAACATCTCCAGGAGCATTCATATTTGAGACTGAAATATGAACTAATTAAGTAATACAAGAATCCCATGCATTTCAGAACTAGAGATCTAAACAACAGGTAGATTTTTCTGTAAAAATACGGAATATTTGGTTGTTTGCAGAGAATATTTGATTATCTCTATTTCAGTCTTTGTGCCAACTCAAATTGCGATTTCAAATTCATTGTGGGATGTTGTGCAGCTCTAGCAGCAGGTGGAATGAGCCATGATTAAAATAATTTTAAAATATAAAAAGGAACAGTGATTTTTATTATCCGTCTGCTAACAGATCTATTTTATCATAGTGAAGACAATTATGCCAAATTAGAAATTAACCAAGAGTTCCAATGTAATTCTGTTTTTTGCTTTTCAGAACAGATGTAATGATCAGTTCTGAAAATGAGATGTTTAGTCCCATTTTACGGTGAAAAACTTTTTGACTCTATAAATAGGGATGCACCGATACCAATACTGGTTTCAGATATCAGTGCCGATCCAGGAAAAATTGCGGGTTTGGGTATTGGTTCCGTGATACCGGTTCAGTCGATATCATGGTTGAACTTCAATTGAACTTAAATTCATACAAAGCTGTTCAGTAGGTACTTCCAAGATAGTTACATAACACAATCAAATACATTTTGTAATAAGTAAAATGTTTTTTTAAAGGAAAAAAAAAAAGCCATTTTCAACCCCTCCACTGGTATCGGTTAATATTGGACATCGGCAGTTACCTAAAGACGTAGGATTGATATCGGTATCAGAACTGAAAAACCTGGATAGGTGCCTCAATATCTAAAAGATGAAAGACTTTATCATAATTAATTACACAATTGGTTTATGCAATCACTTTAACTTTAGTACACAGCGCAGAGACTTTGATGTAGTTTTATAATTTGAGCACAGAGCAGACGCCTGATTGTTCGAGGGTGCTGTTAGCCGGAGTAGGGTCCAGCTGGTGCTTGGTCTCCTCTGTTTGACACGTCGTCCATCTTCACCCGCTGCATTAAGAGTCTGTGGTACTCACACCTGCTCCACAACAGCTTGAGCCCCGCCAAAATAAAAGTCCCTCTGAGGTCCACCGTCCCAGCAGCACAGAGCACAGCTTTACCGGAATGGTCCATAATGAAGAGTGTGAGAAAATTTAAACCAGTTCATTATAAAAGGTTTGCAGTGGTCCGAAGTTATTCCTCATTTACCTTGTGCATTCCAAGCTTCCTAATTATTCACCGCAATGTTATTAGCACTTTTCTTCTGTTTGTCTCTATGGAAATGTTGCATACTTTGACTTATTTATCTCCGGGGAAGCATGCATACTAGAGATGGGCATTCGATTAAATTGTCTTAATTAATCGTCTTGAGAATTAACAACTGATTATCGATTAATGTTTAACGTTTTTTATTACTATTACTAATCTGCATAAATAAACTCAACATTACAACATATAAACCATTACCACTATAGAGCCACATCAGCCCGTTTGAGATTATAATGTCTTTTAATGCAGCTTTGACACATTGAAGATGGTGAATCTGTTCTGTGTGTCGCGTTGGAGATGGTTCCTGTTTTCAGAGATCATACATGTGCAGGTTTAGAGCAGCTCTTTATGTAACATTTCATTTCACTCACTTTATTTATGTTGGTCACTTTATTTATTTTGGCTACTCTTGTGATAAAAAGACTGAAAAATGTTTGTCTTGTGGACGCATGAGCTCCCAACTGTTGCAATACCCGAGATACTGCGCATACATGCAAAATCGGGACAAAAAAACTGATCATACCCAAAACACTGATGTGCATGTAAACACACTCACTGAGTGGTACAGTGATCTCCAAGGAGGTGTGCCGTAGCAGAGACGTGGGAATGTTGCGCTATCAGACGCAGCCTTGTCTCCTTATGTCACACTACGCACAGCAACCTACATTTGGTTTGTCGATTGAAAATGAACATGATAGACAAAATTCTTAATGATCACTTATCGATTAGTTGACCAATCATGCCCATCCCGAATGCATACCAGCAGAGATGAGATATGAGTGCAGCTTTTAAATCTGTCTAAAGTTTAATTGAGTTTACAAGCTGCATCTATGTACACCTGAGCATCTTGTGTTGTTTTCCAGGATTACCGAGTGAACATCTTCTTGCGACAGCGCTGGAATGACCCTCGTCTGAAGCTGCCTCAGGAGTTTAAGTCCGAGTCCCTCACAGTGGACCCCAAAATGTTCAAGTGTCTGTGGAAACCAGACCTGTTCTTCGCCAATGAGAAGAGCGCCAACTTCCACGACGTCACGCAGGAGAACATCCTGCTGTTCATCTTCAGGAACGGAGATGTGCTCATCAGTATGAGGTAAGCTTTTTTTGACTTCGATAGAACTGTTGTAGTTTCATAGTTCAGTGTTATAATGCCTGGTGAATCAAGAAAAGGCAGACAATGAAAAGTCCAAAAAAATAACGGGTATTATTAATTACAAAAATGTGCAGGTTTCTGGGAGCTGGGTTGGAGGCTGGGGTGAGAGTCCAAGGAGGCAGAATGCAAAAACCTGGTCTGAGGAAAAACAAAAAAAAAGGCAAACTAAGTTGCTGGAGAAACAGACAAAAATTCAAGAAACAAAACTGGAGCCAATAGTTGTACCAGCATAGGATAAACTATGAATCTGGCGAGGTATGGATGCTTGAACTGGCTTTTTAATACTGCGGAGGTGTAGGTTGATCGGCGAATGAGCTGCAGGTGAGTAGTTGCTGGAACCAGATTTGAGGATTGTGCCAGATTTTCCACCCAGCTCCAGACACACAAGACAGTGGGGATGGGAAGACAGACCAAGGTGAAAAAAACAGGAATCCTGACATTTGGATGATCCTACGAGCTGTGCTGCCTGGGGAACTTTACCCCTGCTGTGTCTCCTGTAGCAGAGCCAGACCCCTTTATGACAAATTTAAGACCTTTAACACAGTGATCCCTAACATTTTTTGCACCACAGACCGATTTTATATGTGATAATACTTCGTGTACCGGAGGTGGTTGGGGGGGAGGCATGGTGTACAGTGGTTAAGTTCTGACTAAATCCTGTTTTTAGACCTGTTTTGAGTTTGACCTGGTTTAGACTTGGTTCAGTCCTGGTTCAGTCCTGGTTTAGTCCTGGTTAAGTCCTGGTTTAGACACGTTTTAGACCTGGTTTAGACCTGGTTTAGACTCTTGGTTTAGACTCTTGGTTTAGTTCTGGTTTAGAGGAACGGCCCACACAGAGTACAGGAGGAGGGACAGTCCATCCAGCGTACGGGAGGGGGGGGCGGCCCATGCAGGGTTATGGGAGGGGTGGTTTGTACCAAACGACCCACAGCCCGGTACTAGTCCCCCGGCCTGGGGGTTGCAGACCTTTGCTTTAATGCATGAATTTATATAGATGTATATATATCAAAAAAAGTTTTGTGTGTGTTTTTGCCTTTCAGTAGTTAGTAAATTAAGATGAGATTATTCATTTGATTATTGTGGGGGAAAAAAAAAAAAAGGGAATGCAGCTGCTATCTCGGCTTATATCTTGATCCAAATGGTTTGTCGCATATTTGTGACAGTCGGTGTTAAAGGGCTATATCGAGGTTTGTTATGTTGCCCAGAATGTCCCAAACCCTTTGCCTGGCTCCATGGTGGGCCCAACCCTAAAAGGTTCTGGGGGAACAGCTTCCTGTGGGCTCACTACCTGAAGGAAGGACCAAGAGGCCGGTGCAGTATCTTTGGGCAGTGGTCAGGAGCATTCAGTTTGTTGTTTACAATTTCTGTTTGTTGGTTAGGTCTATTGAACTGCTCTAAGTGTGAACTGTGCCTGAGTCATATTAGCATAATCGTTCAGGCCCCTGATGGGTGCCGTCACACCTATTAGCATACTGGCTCTCACTACTGAATGATTATGCAAATATGAGTCAGGCACAGGTCATTACAAACATAAACTATAAACAAACAGCGGTGTTAGTTTCATTGTAGTTAGATCTGCCCTCCTCAAATTACTGTCCACCAGAAATCTGACCAGAACTGAAGAAGCAGCTTGGATGAGCTACGAAATGTCTTCACTCACCTTTCTTCAGTTGGCAGAATTGAATTTTTCTACTGGATGACTGATCGATTACACAAACTCGGGTAGATGTGTTTGGTGTTGGTTATGAATGTCAGTATAATACACATTTCTGGAATCTAACGTTGTACTGGACAATAAAACACCAAAGATTTTAGATTAAGACAAGCTTATTTTTTGACTGTGGTTACAAGTTATGAATGGGTAATTGCTCTCCATACAGTATGTAAACTGACCACAACCAATACTATGTCACTATTTGCGGAAAATATAAAAAGTTTAACCCAAAAGACATGACGGACAAGGGGAGAAATAGAACATCATACCCAAGCAGAGAATTGCATTTGTGAGTCTATGGGCTGCTGCATATTATATTCAGTGTCATCTGGGGACTGTCTATATGGGAGCTGCCCTCTCGTATAAATCTCTCCATTCCTCACTAGATTACATTGTGACACATTTAGTTTTCAGTCTAGGCCCAAGTGCGACTCAATACGGCACTACAGGGATATGACTGTACAGTATCCTACATCTACATTGATTTGAAACGTCTTCCAGACAAAACTAAAACTAGGGAGTTAACGATTTCTTAATGTCACCGTGGGGTAACTTCAGCAGTAGCAACTAGTAACTTAAAACATACAACATAACTGTACTTTCTACATAAAAGAAAGTATATGTATTATCTGACAGAGCCTACCATTAAGACTAATTTGCAATTAACACAAATGGACTCCATATAACCAGGAGCACAGGTTATAGTTTTAATACTGTTCAACTACAGATCGACTAGACTGACATATTAGGTGTCTTAAATATAGACGAAAAGGCAATCAAATGAATGAGTAATCAAATTAATAAAATTACATTTAAAAACATCACCTGTTCTGTAGCCTTAAAAGTGCAGAATGTAACTTTTCTAGTGGAGGATCGACCATTTTTTTGAAATCTTATTGTTAATTTGCATCTGATGTCATCAATATTCCCTGGGGGATGTGAAGCTAACTGTAGGCATGCTCTGTCTGAGGCTTTGTTAGACTTTAATTTGATCTTTATTTCAACATAATCTAACTGGAAAGATCTGATTTAGTCGGGATTACAACAGATGAGATGATTTTTACTGTTAAACAGGTCCCTCAGAAGAAAAACAGTTTTTCAGATAGTCACTCTCATCTTTTTGTTGAAAATCAAATGGATGCTCATTTTAAGACTTAAAAACAATGGTGTAGGTTTGCATAGGGACGGTGGGGACATGTCACAACCAATATTTAGTGAAGACAAAATAGCCCCTACCCTTTAATAATCAAAAATATAAATTGATTCCAATATTTTTCCAATCTAATAGTATTAATTTAATACGTTTGTGTTCACATTTTGTTTATTAGACTTTCTGAGATGTATTCAGTGATATAGTGACAGGGTTACTCCTGTTGCTATTTCATTGGCTGCAACACAGTGATGTCATTAAAACACACAACCTTTGAAAAACTTTTCAAAAGGAACTTACTTGGCTTCATTTTTATTAATTAGCTGATAATGTCCCCACCAAAGCTGAGACCAAACCTACGCCCTTGGCTGATCTCATCAACATTCCCTGGGGGTGTGAAGCTAACTGTAGTCATGCCCTGCTACAGTCTGCTCATGCTCTGAGGCTTTGTTAGATTTTAATTTGATCTTCATTTCAGCACAATCTGACCGGAAAGATCTGATTTAGTCGGAATTACAACAGATGAGATGAATTTCACTATTAGTCCCACAGTTTTTCAAATTCTCTCACTCACTCTTTTTTTTTTTTTCCTAAACAGGACCATGAATGCTCACTTTCAGACGATCTTTATTTAATTTTTTAAAATTTGCTAATATATGTTTTGTGTCACCACCATAACATTCCTCCAAACCCCAGCATGATGTCACTGCAAAGTATCAATCGGTTTGCCTGGAACGTTCCACAGTATTACAATAGTACAATAATAGACATTGTCAGTGAACATAATTCACAAACCAAGACCATGCTTTGATGTTATGGCGCAACATAAAACAAATAATAATATTATAAAATAAAAATAAGGGCATGCATTAAAATAAAGAAAATAAAAATTGACTTATATACAGATACAAATTATACAGTGTGGGCAGAATCCAATGCAAAAACCATCAGTGCAAGTAGGTTAATTATAGTTGTTTAGTCTTAATTATCTCCATGGAGACAAGCAGGTAACACACCACCTGGCCAAGTTATATTTGTGCAAAAGTAACTCTGCTCACAGTAACAGTGCATGTTTGGATGCATTTAAAAAATAATGATTTAGTGCACTAAGCATTCTAGTTATAGGGCTTGTAAGTTGCTACGTCATAATTCTATTTCCGGGTCCAAGCTGCAGTCGTGCCGAATTTGGCCCGACTGATATACATGTAAAAGTGCTTCAGTGTTGAGTACTAGAGTGTGGATCAGGCAGAATTTTTCTGTCCGACAACAGTGATTGAATCTGACCCGATCCCGACACAATTAAAATCACACTATTTTCACAAGCCTAATGTAATGACGCACGCTATTGTTTGTGTGGCCTCTAACGGACACAGAGACGCAAAATACAAACTTTATTAGCCTACTCAACTCTTGTAAAATGGTAAATTTAAAGTGCAGCAACTTGTCCACATATCCACAGAAATTGTCCTTCGCAAATAACGCCATCCAGTCCACAAACCCTTTCTTTTAATCTAGTTTGCGGTGTTCTTTAAAAGTAAAAAGGCGAAAGTAGTCCCTCACATGTGTCTGTTCACATCCGCACAACGCACGGATCAAGGTGAAGCTGCAGATTAACGATCGAGACTCCTGCTTCCAGTGTACTTTATCTCCATTCTTTTTATGCTTTAAAAATCATGTATCTGAAGGATCGCACCACATTTCACAAAAAAATAATGACTTGTATCTAAACTAGAAATGCAGTTCTCTGATCTTTAGAAGTGAGTGGTTTTACTGTAGACAGGAAACAGCTGACGCGCTTATGTGTCAGAGTCGGACCCGAGTCCTAAATATTTGTCCGAACCTGTCTCGTCGGACTTCTGTTGGGTTTCCATGCTCTAGTTGGAACCTCACTAAAAAAGACGTGTGTGATAGTGAAAATGTTCAGTGGCTCTGTCGTTCTGAACAAATGTTTCGTTGGACCCGGAAGTCGTGTGTGACGTCAGACTTACAAGTCAAATAGCAATAACATATTGATTGAGTAAAGCAGGTGGCGAAACTTCCACCAGAAAAGTTACAAACAGCGTCTTTAAATATAGAACCTTTTGGTCACATTTTGGTTAAACTTTATAATATAAACCATGTGTCACCTGTAACCCTCCTCCTCCTTCCTAGTAGCTCACCAAAGAATTTCTGAATTCTAAGTTTTGTGCTGAATAATAAAAAAATGACATGAATAGAATGACTATTAAAATTGTAAATGTATAATCTCCATGCCAAACTTTACTTTCTGCACTAATAAATGGATGTTTGTGTATGTTTTATAGGCTTCTATTGTGGCTCTTATATTTACTTAGTTTGTTGCCACTGCTAAAATGAGTAGCTCTCTGGCATTTTCTTTTTGAAAAATTTCTTACCGGAGTTAAAAAGGTTGGAAATCCCTGATATAAGCCGTTTCAGATTTCAAAAGCCAAATTACTTTTTGTTGGTTGGAATATATTTTCAGTACCAAAAGCTTAAAATACTTTTAAAGGGCTCATATTGTACTGTTTTCTGATCTATATTATAATGTCGATTCCTCGTCATAAATATACCAGGAGTTGTGTTTTGTTTAGTTCACACATATTCTGTTCTGCATATTTAGGTTTGAGTTCTTCTCTCACACTGAAAACACTCTGCTCTTCATACACATCACTAACCACTGGGATCATTTCAGCCCCAGAATTTCCAATCTCTACTGAACAAAAGATAAAAGATCGTTGAAAACTACCACTTCATGACACCACAAGCTTTGGAGATGCGGACAGACTAATGATCCAGGATTACACAAACATGTGTGAATCAAACAAAACACAACTCCAGGTATCTTTCTGATGATGTAACAGCATTATAACATGCCTTAAAGCTCACAAGAGTCAAGTTTAAGTAACATAGGACCTTTAATGCCAGCACAGTGACATCTCCTCTATTATTTATCTCCTCTTCTTTAGGTTGTCCATCACCCTCTCCTGCCCATTGGACCTGACCCTCTTCCCCATGGACACCCAACGCTGCAAGATGCAACTGGAAAGCTGTAAGTATGATTCATAACCCTAAACTGGCATATGCATGAACTGGGAATACACTTGCTTTTGCAAAGTTAAATCCCGGGGCTAAACGGATGCTTTTTGCTTCGGTCGTATTTGCCCATTTACGCAGCGGGCACTTACAGAGGCCGAATAAATCACTATATTTTAAAGGTGCTGTGAAAGTCTCCAAGCTAATTGAGCTTGACTGCGCTTATTACATCTTGTTTACAAAGACGCCAGGATCGAGTGAGCAGAAGAGGGTCAGAGCTGAGGGTACGGACAGCTGCACAGACTGATAGCACGCTGCTCAGTTTTATACAGTTAACCCAGAGACAATTCAATTATGGAAACAATAGGTTGGGTGATATAACAACATTTTAGTATTCCTGTACAGTGGCCCCTCGTTTATCGCAGGGGTTACATTCTAAAAATAAGCCGTGATAGGTGAAATCCATGAAGTAGTCGGCTTTATATTTTATATATTATTATATCTGTTTTAAGTCTGTAAAACCCCTCACCACACACTTTATACACTTTTCTCACACAGGACAGTTACAACCCTTTTTGCATCCTTCTTAAAACTTACTGCTGCTGTCGTCCTTTTGTTATTTTCCTCCTCCTTTATGTAACGAACCGAATATTAATTTATTCCGTAATGGAGCCCTACAGCACAGAGTCCTGCACGGGTCCATTTTTGGAGACCCACACCCATACAGTACAGGACCACACTCGCCCGTTAACCCGAGATTATATAAAACTTTTGCACTGCACACACCGTGAACTAAACCAAGACTAACCCAGGACTAACCCAGGACTAACGTAGGACTGATTCCAGGACTGAAACAGGAGGACTAAACCAGGACTGAACTAGGACTAAAACGGGACTAAACCAGGAATAAACTAGAACTAAAACAGGACTCACTGTCGGGATGGGACACCCTGCTTCGGTGTTCTCTCTCTTAAGTCCATGATTAGTCCTGGTTTAGACCCGGTTTAGTCCTGGCGTAGTCTTGACCCGCCCGTGTGTAATCACTACCCGCCCACATACCCGCCCGTAAAATTCCAGAATGTTAAGACCAGCCCGTTTCAGCACCTATTTGCCCGTTCCCAACCCGGTGTAGGACTCTGCTACAGCTGTGTAACTTCTGCCTTCCTTCAGCACGTCCAGAAGTCAAATTTTTTGTGCGATGGTTACATCTTCCTCTGCCTTTCGGGTGCAACTGCAGGAGCCTTTGTTGGTGCGAACGTTTCGTTGATATTGTGTGTTTTATTAGGGAGAAAACTTGGAAACATACAGCACTTCAGAATCACACTGCTAGAGATCGAACATTTATGTAAATTTGGCAGCTTAATGCATTCTGTCCTGTACAGGAGACATGGGACGGAGGAGACTGATTAACAGTGGTCTGTAGTCCCTTAGGGGGAGGAACACAACGCATATTCATACACTGTAAAAAAAAGCCATGCAAAATTGCACAAAAAAAAAATCTGCGAAACAGTGAGAGCGTGAAAAGTGAACCACAATATAGCGAGGGACGACTGTAGTTTAAAAGCAGAGCAGGAGGACAGGTCAAAATTGATGTCGGTGAAATCCATAGTTCATCATTACATATTTCGGAATTTATGCATCATTCAATTCATATTTTTGTTAAAATGTATCTTTCATATTTTCGTCTTCTTTATTATGTAATGCATGAGACTGAATCTTGAATCTTGAATATTCTTGAGCTCTTATACTTTTGTCTTGTTCTTCTCTGGTGCAGTTGGCTACACCACAGACGACCTGCAGTTCATGTGGCAGACAGGAGACCCGGTGCAGATGGACGCCATCGCTCTGCCTCAGTTTGACATCAGACAGGAGGACATCGACTACGGCAACTGCACCAAGTTCTACGCAGGCACAGGTAATGGGAAATTAAATGGATATTCTGTATTAGATGTATGTGAAATTATATATCAAAAACATTCTGGGAATACAGGATGAGCCAACCCGAGCTTCATGTCTTTGGTGTGGTTGGTAACTTAAGTACCTGAAACACAAAGTCCCCTTCTAGAACAAAAATCAAACCCAGGACCCACATGACGAGATATATTGTTCCTTGACAAACATGGTTAAAAGATATTGTATTAGTTTCTTATTGTACCAGTCATTTATTTCCAATCATTTCAGTAATTAAACCTCATTTACAAGCTAAATCGATCTGATAGTGTACTAAATTAACTCCAGGACTAATACAAAACTAAACCAGGCCTAATCTAGGTTTAAAGCAAGACTTAACCAGGCTTCACCGAGGACTAGATCAAGACCAGGGGACAGGACTAGAAACTAAACCAAGACCGGATCAGAGATTAGACCAAGACCAGACCGCGAGAACTAAAACAAGATCAAGGGACAAGAATTAGAACAAGATGAGACCAGAAAACCAAGACGAGTCCAGGGACGAGACCAAAGACCAGACTCACACCTCATATTTTCATCATATTTATTATGTAAATTTAGTATGTCCTATTAAAGCTGTGCGACCTGATTTTCAAACCGTGAAAGGAGGAAGTTGGTATTTAAGTTGGTATTCCAAACATTTAACATGCCTAATATTCTCATGTGTGGACATTTTTCCTATTAGAACAGCTTTTTCAGATGGAAAAGTGAAGCAGGGTGGCCCAACCTTGGACAACCAATCAGCTCTCACGCCAAAGAGTCATGCGGTGACTCTTTCCTATAATTTTGTGATAGCTCAAATGTTTTATAATTCGATGGAAACAGTGTGTAGTGGTCTGATTTTACAATACATTTTATGAGGAGGAAAACAAAAACTGCATTTGTATTTATTTATTAAAGGGAAAATGCATATTGAAGGACAATATAATGTAAGAGACAAACATGTACCGTATTTTCTGGGCTATTAGGTGCGCTCTTAAGCCTCTAACCCTATCAAAAAAAAGACTGCGCACCTCGCAATCCAGAGCGCCCTATACACGAATCCACTCGGGTGTCCCAGCACGACTTCAGTCAACTACAAAGCCGCAGCATCTGCAGAACACACATCACTCCACGCTGGACGAGGAACGGAACGGAGGAACGAACCGAAAAAGCAAGTGCAATGTACCACTTCTAGCCACAACTGAACAACTGAGTCACTGTGAACACGCCAACAATCCAGCGGTCCCAGACAGCACCCTCCCTACACGCCACAATTGAACAAAGCCGAGAGTCACCGTGAACGCGACAAACAAAGTCTGACTGACCCATCTAACTGTTGTGTTTCGTTTAAAGTCCAGTGCGGTTTATTTGTGAAAAAAGTATGAAAATAGACCAGGATTATAGCCAAAGCTAATTTCCATTGTTAGTCCCTGCTGGACCAAGGCCACATCACCCGCACAATTCATAAAACATGACAAAAGCCTACAATATCCGCTCCCACATACATCTGTCAGTCATACAGTAAAACACACTCATCTGACATTAATATTAAAATGTACAGATCAGACATACACTCTCATTACTTACACGTGCACATCATTAACATTTATCTAAATTGTGAGAAGTTGGGTAGCGTGGCTAAGCTGTTAATTAGTTATGATATAATTCAGGGGTCATCAAACTAAGGCCCGCGGGCTGACTCTGGCCCTCCACGCCCCTTTGGCCAGCCCCCAGTCCCTCTGCCCCCCACCATTTGAACTAGCCCTATGAGGCAATCCCCAAAAGTTGTCATGGCCTTTTTTTAAAAATTTTTTATTACCTTTTGGTGAATAATAGCGCGTCTACATTGTATTTTGAGTTTAAAAAAAAAAAATAAAAAATTATATATATATATAAAGTTTTTATATTTACATTTGCTGCCGAATTTTTGTCACCTGACAAGCTTGAGATCAAACAGTGACGGTTGACGCACGTGCAAAGTTCTGTAGTGCAGTTAAGGACAGCAAAATGGCTCGTGTTAAAGAAAGAAAAGTTCAGAGTGCAGAGTTTTCAAAGAACAGTGGACGACCAATTATTTTTTTGTTCAGTGTAAGGAGCGTGCAGTTTGTCTGATATGTACAGAAAGCGTAGCAATTTTCAAACAATATAATCGACGTCGTCAGGGTCATACAATTCTGTTATATGGCCTACCCGACCACGGCCTCCATCACAGTCAGGAGCGATAATGTGGCCCCCAGAGATAAAAGTTTAGTGACCCTTGATATAGTTGCTATGTTTTAAACACCTCTTTATGTTTGCACTTCCATCAAACACGAGCAATGTAAATGTCATGCTAAAAATAACAACAACACATAATCTCCCCTTTAAAACCTCCAACATCCCATTGTATCCCGACAAATCCTTACAAATCTTTGGCATCTCTTTGTGCAGACTCCTGTGTTGCTCCTTTGTCGATTCAGATTCGTCCCACACCACTAAATGAAAGATTCAATCAGGACCAGACCGGCAGTGTTCACACTTCAATGACATGATCCTATTATTCCACCCTCTGATCACACGCCAGCTAATACTCGCTAATATTATGAAGACGGACTACAGAGGAATTAGCACGTCATGTTATAATGGGATATCTATTGAAATACAATCAAAGAGGCTAATGATTTTTTTTTTCTGTCACCTTGTACTGATAAGGAAAGATTGGATTTCTTTTAAAGCAATGAAAAGTAAAATATATATGGAAATTTAAACTACAGAGATGAAATGAAATTGATTGTATAGATAATAATGGGAAGAAAGTTTAATGTTCCAGTGTATTAAATATGATACAGTCTGTGAAGTTTTATGCTGGAGACAGATAAAGACCAAAAGTGCTGTAAAACTTTATAGTTATGTAGGCAGGCTTTTATTTGAGATTATATGGATCATTCTTTCTTAAATCATAAGATTCTTGGCAGGGTAAAGAAAGCCATGCAGTATGAAGTATTAGTACAGCAAATACAGAGATAGGGATAGTATTCAGTTACCTTTACCCAAAAATATTTATTGGAGTAACATTTTAAGTACTGTATTTTTCGGACTATACGTCACACTTTGTTTCATGGTTTGGGTGATCCTGCGACTTATGCGACTTGTATATTAAAATTTTCACACTGACAGCCACGAGACGCTCTAGGCTTGTGTGTCAGTATCTGCTACTTCTATTACTTCAGTACTGCTGTCACTTCACTCTCCTGCGCATGTCTCCTGCAGAAAGAGCCTCTGTCCTGTCAGGGATCATGTCAGTCGATCGCACCATTATTTCTGTACCACTGAAAAATGTTTAATTTAAATAAAAAAATAAAAATAAAAAAAAACTTGAGTAGACTGAACACAAATGCCTCCCCAAAAAAGAAAATCATATTTTGCAGATTACAAGCTGCAAGTAGCGAAATACGCAGCCAAAAACAGTATTCAAGCAGCAGAAAGAAAGTCTGAAGTGACCTTGTATTCCACTGCGAGCCAAATTAATGCCTTTGAAAGCCTGGAGGTGGACAGCTATTTTGTATCTAGTTGGATTTATAAAGGTATAAACCGCCAAATTACAATACAATTAGCACCACATAAAGCTTTTTGAGTAACAATTTAGAACCTATAATGCAACAGTTTAGCCAGAGATTGTCAATCCACTTTTGTTGTATTTTTTCTGTACTTTTTTTTAAAAACTAACTCCCGTGTGACACACCACTTTTTGTACAAAAAAAAAAATATATTTTTTTCTCCTGATTAGAGCAGTCGCAGCAACCATAGACTGCACAGAATTTAGAGATTTTCAGATCTGCCTTTACTTTCTGACCCCCATGTACCTTTGGTGACGTCGACGTGACGCCATCTGAAACCCAGCAATACAGTACTTTACTGCTCTCTCATGAGGGAAATTCATTGTCTGCATTTGACCCATTCTTCAACCAGTGCTGCTGGGTCAACCTGTCCAGACCAGAGAGCTTCTTCAGTCCAGCTCTCGAGGACCTATTTCCAGATCTTGAGCTTGTCTTGGTTGGAACCACTTTAGCTGGAGGATTTGACTTCATGGTGCATGTTTTGGTTTGATGGGGGAAACTAGATTCCTCACAGGAAGCCCACCCAGACATAAGGAGAACATGCAAACTCCACAAAGGAGACCTGTGAAGCAGAAGTCCTAGCCACTTGGCCACCATGCCGCTAAGGACAACTATACTTCTATACAAAACGCTCTTAACCAGATGAGAAAACCCCATAACTGATCGAACATTTACAGTAATATGCTCTTCAACACGGGGAGGGCATCTGGCATAAACGTATTTACAAAATCACCACCTGACTAGTACAGCAGTAGTATATGAATGCACAAAACCCATGCGCCAATAATACGGTCTGACTAAAACAGATTACATAGTCCAGACTCTGTGAGGCTTTATGGATATGATTTAAGAAACAATAATTCACAACATAACATAAGAATTGTAAGTGTACTTGCTGTAGGACATTCTTGGCATTCTGGCTTTATGTTGTTGGCGTGATGTACTGAAGCGGTGCCAAGTGAGGTCTTGTTTAGGAGTTTGACTTTTCAATATGGAAGAAATAAAAGACATATGCCCATAAACTCCTCACATGGATCATTTTTATGAGAGGAGCTGAACATATAAGTGCACTGTGATACATGGTCATGATACGTGCGCAGTGAACATACCATACTCTGTTTCCAACTATTGCTAAATGTAAAGATGCACTGTGTAACTTTTCAGGTGGAAGGCCGTCAGATGCTTTTCTCCATGGAGATGTTATTGCTTTGTCTGGAATGTTTCACAAGGTGGTATTAAATATAGGCACAGGACGAGACACAATTTCTACAAGACCTGAGTCCATTAGAATGAGACAAAACGTGATTTTAACATATTTCTTAATAGAGATGGGCATGATTATTCGACTAATCGATAATTGATCATTAAGAATTTCGTCAGTCGCTTT